GCTCACCATCACTAATCATCAGAGAAATGCAAATCAAAACTACCCTGAGATATCACCTAACCACAATGAAAATGGCCCACAATCTCATTACCACTGGTCAAGGCCCAAAACTGCTTGGTCTCTAGCCTGGTTTATCTAGCTGTTTTCCAGATTCAGACCACTATGCTGTTATCTTCCTCAGGAACAACTGCTCTTAAATACCTGAGGGCTATTTACTTTAGCAGAAGGGAGAGCAAGAGAGAGATAGTCTTTAAGGGTGACATAGTCTTAGAAGAGTAAGTGTTAGCAGTCTTTATAAAAGCTTAGTAATGTTCAGCAGAGAGACACCTTGCTGGCATTCTTCAAGCAGGAAGTGACAGAGTCAGAGTAAGGGGGTCTGAGATAGAATGAGCATGCTCCTGACTGCCTTCTCCTGCAGCCGAATATAGAGTTGATCTCATGACTTTTAACACCACAGGTGTAGAGACTGCCAATTCACTAATGCTCTGTCTCCCAAGCTCTCAAGCTTGTTCAGAAAGCTAAATCCCTCCCCATGCCCTTTTCACCAAGGTGTGCTATAATCGAGTTACAGGTGTTACTTATAACTCTCACTCCTCCTAGCCATAAGCTATATGGGGTGCTACACCACAAAGTCTCAAAGCTGCAGATGCTGGCATGAACATGGAGAAAAGGGAACACTTTTACACTGCTGGTGGGACTGCAAACTAAGACAACCTTTTTGGAAGGAAGTATGGAGAATCCTCAAAGAACTTCAACCACACCTCCCAATTGATCTTGCAATCCCATTACTAGGCCTCTACCAAGAAGAAAAAAAATCCTTTTATCATAAGGATATTTGTAGTACACTGTTTATCACAGCTCAATTTGTAATTGCCAAAATGTGGAAACAACCTAAATGCCCATCAACCCAGAAATAGATTAATAAGCTGTGGTATATGTATACCATAGAATACTATTCAGCTACTAAAATAAATGGAGAATTTACATTTTTTTGTATTAAAATGGATAGAAGTGGAACACATTCTTCTTAGTAAAACATCACAAGAATGGAGAAGCAAGAATCCAATGTACTCTATTCTAATATGAAGGAAGCAGATGAGCTAATACAAGATGGGGTAGGGGAATGACCAAATGGGGACAAAAGATGATGATGGAAGATGGGAAGTCATGGTGTACGGCACATCTCTTGTGGGTGATACACAATTATAAGATGGACATTAACTACCAGATGCAATCAGTGTAACCTAATTCTTTGCAACCTCAATAAATCCCAAACAAACAAAAAAACCTCAAATACACACAAATAGAATACAGTAGTTGTTATGAGGAATGAGGAGTACAGGAAATGGAGAGATGTATATATGTTTATAAAGTACAAATTATATGGCTATAATAAAACTGTGTTACATATTCAAAAATTTCTTAAAAATAGATTATAGATTCTCTTACCAAACACATGGAAATCAAAACATCATGCAATATAACATCAATGTATATTGTGAAAGAACAAAAGGTAGGGGAAAACTAACAGACAAACACACCAGTTTCTTATTCAATCTTCAAGGCATGCTACACAGGAAAAAAGCACTTGTTGGGTTATCTGCAGCCACCTGCATACACTTTGGGCCCTTGGCTACTGGTCAGGGGCTACAAGTCCTTCACTGGCTGATTCAGTGGAGAGTGGAGTTTGATCGACTCTCACTGGATGCCCCCATCATCCCAGGGAGGCATATTCACAGGTCATGAAATTTCACATTTTAAGAAATAAAAACTTACAGCCCATACAAGAATAGAATAAGCTAAATGTTATTTATGTAGAACAACAATCTGAGTTCCTACACAGTTAAAAATTCTTAATTGTTTTATGTATTTGCTTTATGTATTTCTATATTGTATTTATGTCCTAGAATGTGTATTCAAATGAGTTTATACCCTCACATTAATCTGAAATACACAAAGAATGAAAAAAATGTCTACAAATTGAAATGTCCATATGGATACTCAACACTGGCACTAAATCTGAATTACAAAAGAAAACAAAAAGAAATCCTGGTGTGATGTGGCTTTGTAATGCATAATCTGAGGACTCTGCACAAGAGACTGCACCGTGGATCCAAATTTGTCCTACAAATAAATTCCATACAAGCAGTCCAGGATCAGCCATTAGGCAAACACCAAACCTTGCTTTCCTGGTGAGATCTATCGCAAACACACTTGTCTTCCCTTCCTGGGGACTAGATAGGAGTCTGCTCAAAAACACGATGCTGAACACCAGTTGTGAGATTATGAAACATTCAAGAATGTAGACAACCTTCTGTCTTTAAAACTTGGAACTCAAGGGATATCAGCAAGGTAAATGTTCCCTTCCTGTACATGTCTGATTTCCCATGAGAAGAAACTATGAGAAAGAACTTTTCACAATGTCTCCCTAGTTTTCCGGCCCATCCAGCACCTACTGCTATACCTAAATATTGAAAGACCCATGGAAGTTCCACTCCATGTCATATACTAGGGACAGGTTTACTCATTTACCCTCTGGGCAGCTCTGTAAGGTCAGTCCCATTTCACAGATGACCAAGCTTAGGCTCATACAGCCCTAATCACCTCCCTAGATAAGTGACCCAACTGGAATGAGGTTATACCTTTCACCCTCCCTAGAGGACCCTCACCAGCCTTGTTTTTAGAAGATAGGCTTCTAGGGCTTGAGAAATGGTCACATCACAGTCCCCTACTATATGATCCCAAGGCCCTTCACTCCACAACCCCTCTGAGAGATAAAGATGACAGAGGAGATGACATCCCAGCCTTTAGGCCAAGCACATGAGGGCCCCATGAGTTGGAGGATCCCTGAAGTGGTGAGTGGATTCAAGTAGAAGCCTTGGGTCAGATGAGCCAAAGTGAAGGAAAGCAAGTGTACTTTATATTTCGTCTCCTTAAATCCTAAATGCTATTCTTTAAACCTTTCAGCCACAACTATGACCATTGTTCAGGTCAGGGTGCTGCCTTTATGTAATTCAGGGAGACCCCTTTGTTAACTCCTGATCAGCTTTTAACTCTGCAATACTCTAAAGTTTAACATTTTCACTTGATATCGCTAGGTCTCTAAATGCTGTCATCTCACCCCAGACTTCCAGTAGTGTCACCTGTGGTACTGTCCAACATTTTTTTCTGTTTAAATCCAATATCTAAAGTCACATGATTGAAGTTAAAAGTATTGTCAAAATGAATATAACATGAAAAATGTATTAATACAAGGAAGAAAACACTTGAAAACTAAATCTCAGATACTGGGTTATAATCCATGATTTCTGAACCACAATCTGTATCAACATGACTGATAACCACTTTCAACAGAAAATTTGCATTAATAAATATGGGAATAATAAACATGTTAAAATAAATCATGTTTGGTATGAAATATACCCAAACCATCAGTATTAATAAGGCATAAATGTAAATTCTAAGAATAACATTAAGTGAAAGGGGCAATTTAAAAAAAAAAATTAGTGCTGTGATTCCACTTTGGAAAAGGCTACAAGAGTAAGTGAATATATTCACGTACACCTCAAGTACCTACAGGGACACATCTGGAGACTGTGCACCATTCTCTTGAGAACAGGCGCTTTCCATCCTGAAGTTAGGAGTGTAGTAAATGAGAGATGCAGATTAATTTGAATTTATGAATAGATTTTCATATATTGTTTGATAGTCTGTATTCTGGGGAAGAAGCATTTTGATAAATGCTTGGGAACACATTCACAAAAATTATGTATGATGGTTTCACGAATAGGAAAATGCATTCATGGTTCAATTGGAGCTGAAAAACAGTACATAATAGTTGAATTAATGGTGTCGTGTGTCCTTCTGTCTCATTTAACTTTATCATCAATAAAAACACAAGCACAGCTTTACCTTCAATATACGCCTGGGATGGAACTTATCTCAGTTGTAGATATCCCATGAACTGATGAATACGGGAACATTGCCACCAGAAACAGAATAATTCCAGAAAACTCTGATGCCTTCTTGTAGCAAAGATCCCAATCTCCACCTCCCTTCCCCTTGCTGATTTCCCTGGTCTGAGACACTGAGAGCCGCAATCTTGCTTCTGGCCATCAGATGGCAACCATATTTTTTTCTTTAGTAACTAAGGACTTGGAATCGTTTGTTTACTCGGTTCACAAATACCGTCCATGAAATTGACATGTATAAAGTATAAATGTGAATTCCACAACAGTTCCATTTAAGGTTTACCCCAAATTTACACTGTATTTACTCATGTCTGCCTTCATCACTGAAGGTGGAGGCATCCACGTTGCAGAGGGTTCCCTGCCCAGGAACAAAGCATACACCCTCCATTGCCCACCTCTGTACTAGCTTCCCAGACATTTTCTCAGCCCCTCAGTCATTCGCTCTCCTGGACTACAGTAGACAAACTTGTCCAGACACTGTTTCCCAGTGCCCCCATCCTCTCTCAGTCACCTCCTACCTGCCCCAGGCTTCCCTAAGTCAGCTGAAGACTCCCAAAGTGACCTAGAGCTCCGTCATGTTTAATCCTATGGATGCCCCTATCTATGAATATACTCATTCCTTTGCGCTGTCAATAATTATGAACCTGACAGAGCCGATCCTTAAGAAGGACCCTGAGTGGCAAACTAAGCCTATATTTATAATAGAGACAAGCAGCCACTGACTGACCACAGATACACCCTTACTGTGAGTTCCAGACAACCTTCAGCTTTTTAACTTCGGGGAATTGCAGAGCTCACCGAAGCCATCCAATCAGAGTTCACCTCTCTAGCCAATTAGCACTCAATTGTATGGACCAATCAGAACTCAGATTTAACAACCAATCAGCAATACACAAGTTTCAAACCTTTTGCATAAACTGAGCAGATTGGACATCTGTGCGGTAACTTTCACTATCAACTACAGTCCCGATCTTCCCTGTTTTTACCTTGAATTGCAGACTGTTTACTGTCACAAAAGCTCCTTCCCCCAACTTCCTTTTTAGAACACCTTTGTTCACACACTTGTCTGGGTGCAGACATAATCGTTCGGGAAATAGGTTCAGAAACGGGTTTGAATCGAGCTATATTTTCTTGCTCATTGTGTAGGCATCCTTGTCGAGTTCACTACTTGCGGTATGTTGATGCTCCCTGGTGATAGAGAATGAACTACAACGTGAAAATCACTGAGCAAGAAAGTGAAAGGGGTCTGTGGAACAATGTCACCCTACAGAGCACTCTGCAAATTTCGAGGCAGTCCCAGTATTCAGGGACAGTGATGGTTTATAGACAAAGTTTAATCTCCTACTATGCTATCCATTACACTTTATGTTAAAGGAATACAAAGATCATTTGCATTTTTATACTTTGAGATCTATGGAATGATAGCAATAAACCTATAACTGTGTAACTCATGACTGCCCTTACTCTAAAATTTATATAGCATTTTAATTACTTAACAACAGAATTTCATATTTTTTAATATGGACTTGGTATTACATCAAATAATGTCCTAGACTATTTCCCCAGCACCCTAGTTGAGAAAATTCATGAGAAAATGGGGAGAGGGGAGGAGGGTGGGGGATGGGAAGTCACAGTGTATGGCATACCTCTTCAGGGTGGGACACAATTATAAGATGGACTTTATCTAACAAATGCAATTAGTATAGTCTAATTCTTTGTAACCTGAATGAATCCTAAACAATTAAAAAAAGAAAACCTCAAATGCACACAAATAGAGTACAACAGTTGATTACCAGGACTGAGGAATGGAGGAAATGGAGAGATGTATATATGATCTGAAGTACAAACTTGTAGTTAGGTTAGAAAAATACAATTTGACGTTGAATGTACAATAGCATGGCTATAATAATACTGTGTTACATATTTAAAAATTTCTTAAAAATAGATTATATTTGTCTTGCAACACTTATACACAAGCATGCACATACACTCACACAAAGGTAACTATGGAAAGTGATGGATATGGTGCATTCCTTACCTGTAATAATTGTTCCATAATGTATATGTACATCAAAACATCATGCTGCATACATTAAAAGTATATGATAAAAGAAGGAAATGTAGGGAAAAAACTCAAAACAGGAAAACACACCAGTTTCTTTTTCAATCATCAAAGCAGGTTACCTAGGAAAGCTCTTCTTTTTGGGTCATCTACAGTCATCTCCATACACTGTGGACCACTGGCTACTGCTCAGGGGCTGCAAGTCCTTCACTGGCTGATTCAGTGGGGAGTGGAGTTCCACCTTCTCTCACTAGATGGTCCCATCATCCCAATGATTCATATGCACAAGTCATGAAATTTCACATTTTTAAAAAAGGAAAAATTATAGCCCATACAAGAATAGAATCAGATAAATGTTATTTATGTAGAACAGTAATCTAAGTTTCTAGGAGGCTAAAAATTGGTATTATTTCTCCAAATGTTTGCTCTATTTATTTCTATATTATATTTGTGTCCTAGACTGTGTATTCAAATGAGTTCATTAATATAAAACAACAAGGAATTAAAAACTGGTCAGAATAAACGTCCCAAAAGTTGCTCCCAAAGGTGCCATACATAGGGAAAGTAGGAAATTGTAGTTAAATCTACCTTGATTTACAAAAGATTTATGGCAGCATTTTACAAAGAGATGGTCGACACATACAGAATATTCTGTAAATATTTTGTAAAATTTTGTAATGAATATTGTGTAAATTAAGCTACATTTAGCTGCAATTTCCCATTTTTCCTTTCTATGGAAAATTTAAGGGCAGCTTTTGGAATATGCTGCAAGTTTGTTCTATTAATGCTATTTCCTCTACTTTCATCCTTTAATTTCCCATTTACTATTTTCTCCACCTTCTGTTTTATACATTGTTCTTTGCAATAGTAAAGCTACTTACCATTCTTAACTTTGTCAGTAAAACCAACCATTAGCTCATGATAGCTCACATAATACCTATTTTCCTCATTCCCCCACAACAGAGTAAATAATCTAATGTACTCTTTTCCCCTTCTTGTCTTCAATATCAACCCCCCCTTTCCTCTAATGAGTGCCGATGGCCTCCCAAAACCTATTGTGGCACCAAATTATTATTTTATAGGGTGTACCAAATTACTATGCTGTGAGCTATTTTAGTTTTTGAGGAAAATGAAAAATAAAATTTGTTCTTTAATATAATAAATATATCTTAAATTAAAAAATATATGAAATTGAACAATTAAGTTCTACATCTCCCTCTAGCAAAAGGATTACAATTGCTGACTATCACTATGGTCACCAGATGGACAAAGGGAGTACTTTAAATGTGACCCTAGTGATACTCAGCACTGAAGTATGTAGCACTTTTCCGAGGATGAATTAGAGAACTTAATTGTCAGACTTCCTGCATCCATATTGAACATTCCAAAAGTCTGAAACACGTATGAAATGTATGTATATACATTAAATATGACTGCAAAGAGAAAAAATAGGAAGAACTGGATGAAAATGACACAGTCTCCATAAATGGTAAGTCACCAGTGTGGCCAGTTATTATTTCTTTCTCTCTGGACTTTACTATGCTTTCAACACTTTTAATTTAGGTTGGATTTTCCTTGAAGTCAAAATTAAAGTTCATTAAAACAGTTGTTATGAAATATTTCAGATAAACAAAAATTACAGAATATCAGAGACTTCTAGGTAGTCATGTTAACAGATAATACCATACAACCTCTGCAAGTTGACCACCCAAGGTCCTACAATAAAGGATGAAACATGCAGAAGTGGTCAACATAATGAACTAGGCCTATTGTACTGATACCTACATGTGGTGATGTCCAGTGTTGAAAAACAGGTCAACTTAAGGAGGTGATTAACAGAGGGAAGGAGCCAATTCCAGAGATTCCACTATATATGTAAGTATGCATTTGCATGCATACATTTCTATACTTCCATACAAAAGAAAATTCATCTTATATTCAGATTT